CTGATTTTCAAGATAATGTTAATGACTCTAATGTTGGCGTTAATGAAAGTATATTTTTCTCTTTTGAATGTCGAGTGACGCAAATGAATGCCCAAAAATGTTATTAAATGTTGATTAAAATGCAAAAATCGTTATTGAATCTGATTTATGCGCAAATGTTCGCTTTTTCGCGCTAATGAATGTACCTTTGCGCTGTTGGTCGCCGTTTCACGCAATTGAATGCGTATTTTCTCGTAATGAACAGCAAAAGGTGTATTAGTTTTATGAAAGATTGTCAGACTATGACATAACGCAAGCTCAACTTGTACGTAAATCAACTCGAGTGATTTGTTCAGGACGATTAACTAGACCAAAAGTCATTAATAACTACGAGGCAAAAGTAATTAAGTTGACCAAAGTCAACGCAATGTTAACAAAAGGACGGGTCTTAGCACATTACAAGTTTCTTGTGAGAACTTTTTCGTAACTGCTTATTCCTAGAAAATATTTTGGTTAATTGAGTGTTGCTTAATGACAATCTGACAATCGCGTGTGTCTAAAAGGTCTTCGAGAACAGATCACGTTTTTTAAGGCGTTGTCAACCTAACTCTCCAGTAAATATTGTAAATGTAATTCACGCTTTCACTCTAAACGATTCACACAGTTCAAAATTCAAATTTCACTCTAAAAAGGTTCACGCAACTAAAAATTCCGAATAACACGGAATAAATTCACACACCAAATGGTCATTAAATATTTCCTAAAATGTGTACCAACTGAGTTTCATGCTTCATCGGAAGCAATCATCAGGCAACTGCCAGAAAAACTGTTACAATCCTGCCTCCTCCACAGGCTTTCCCAAGGCTAAGTGGGGATTGGGGAACTCGCGAGCACGCGAGAAGCGCGAGAGAGGGATGATGGGTACGGGAGCGTAGAGCGCGAGCGGGGAGTGATGGGAAGGAAAAGGAGAGAGATGGGAAAGTCGCTTCGCTTGTTCTCCCCTTCCCATCACTCCCTTCGTGCCCGCTTTCCTTAATAATTAACTCAAATATCCCCCAGTGACCGCGAACGACTGGGGACGAGGCAGGTTACAATCGGAGATATATGAAAATTTGAAAACGATACATACTGGGTGTGGCGCGTGGTGCGTCTGGCGGGATGCTACGGTTGATTAGGAAAATGACATTTTTCAACAAAAATTTTCTAGAATGTCTACAGCACGATGTAAGCACGATGTGGCGGGATGCTACGGTTGATTAGGAAAATGACATTTTTCAACAAAAATTTTCTAGAATGTCTACAGCACGATGTAAGCATATACATGTATATATTTGCATAAATAAAGACAAAAACAGCAGCTTTGTACGCTCTGCACGTGCGTTTTGCACATTAGTACATCTTGTTGTTTCCTTCAAAACGACAACGTGAAAAGGCCAAATTTAACGTTTTATGACGAACCTCAGTACACGAGGTTTTCTCCCGCCAAGCAAGTGCCGTCAATACCAGTTTCATTCTTGGGCAAGCGGCACTGCTTTGAATTATTTGAAAGGTCGAAATGCTCGCGAAGAGATCATTACTACTAATAAAATTTTAAGATGACGTTATCGCTGCAATTGCCGTTTTCGTTGATTAAATTCTCTACTATCGATAATCAGCGAGATGGAGCTTTGAATCGCTATCCTGATGAAAACCAACACCGTATATCCTTCCGGCGTGGCCATATGAAAAGATTAATGAAAGAAACTCTTCTTGAATGATATCTTACTTATCTAATATCCTGCAATCCACGCAAAGCATCCGAAAAAAAATTTAATAACCCTAAGAAAAGATTTCAGAATAACAAACGATAATTATATATTCCCCAACTTAGGCAAAAATGTTTAAAACTCCCCTGTAACATAAAAGACTTTCACTAAGCTTTAAACAATGCATGCTCCTCGCTGAATTTCCAGCTTCTGTTTTTTTTAAGTGTCATCCGACCCTTCCTTGGTGTCGGTAATCAAGTAAATAGTTTAATTGCTGCAATTGTCCAAATCCGTATTTCACTCTGGCAGCCCAGCGGCTAATAGCGCTCTTGCTGCCTTTAAAGCTTTCTTCCTTGTATCATTTTCCTCAACAATGCTTTTTGATGCTCTTGAGCCACTCGATACATTTCCCGCCGATCGAACCCAGGCTTTCCAAGACGATTGCATAACGAGCCGCACCTTCTTAGCAACCAAAAAAATTTTGTTTATCTAGCTGAGATAGGGGACTAAAAGTCCCCTATCTCAGCTGGATACTCAGAAGCTTGTAACATTCACTATTCCATTTATCTCTGATCATATTTCGCATCTAATACGATAGAGGCGTCAATTTTCGCGCCATCATGTCATCATTCTAGGGCGAGAAATTTAATTAAAAGCGCGGCATTCAACAAATGTACGGCTCAGGTTTCGGCTAAAATTATTCAGTGCCGTC